ACCTAGAAGCTCCTAAAGAGATGGGTTTGGTTATTCATATTCATTCATTATGGGAAAAAATCTGATAAAAATTTTGCTTGGTACATTGGTGTTTGGATTGATTTTTCAATCTTTTTTCTGTTTTAAAATGCACCCTTTTTGTTGTGGGTCAGTGACACGTTGGCAGCCTTTTGTTTTGTTTTACTGGGACACGTCATAAATATCTGAGAGTTTAGGGTAGGTTGGTGGCCCAGTGGAGGGTCCATCTAGCCCAAGCAAACAATTGGTTTTGGGCTTCTATTTTGTTGACCCACTATTAGTGGATAGGTGATAAGCTAGTTGTAGCTTATAAACAATTTTTGAGTTTATAGTTTATATCTTATGGCTTGTAGATGAAAAGTTAGTTTATTGATCAAAGTGTTTGATACAATTATCTGATAAAATAGCTTAAATATAAGTGAATTTTGAGTTTATAGCTAGTTTATATATTATGACTTGTAGTTGAAAAGCTAGCTTATATGATAAATGTGTTTGGTAAAATTAGTTGGTAAGCTAACTAAAATAAAGATCTCAACGAGTTTATTTGAAATCTACCCAATGAAGCTTATGAGATAAGCTTTTTAAAAAAGTTTGTCATACCAAAGGAAATTCATTTAAATACATGGAAATTAAACTAGCTTATTTGGTTACCAAACATAGTTTAAGTATTTTGGTATGGAAGTACTACACATAATAGTTTGTACATACTAGTATTATGTGGAAATTATTATGCACAACGATAATTATGCATAATTGGATACAAAATTTCTCAAAAAAATTCAAACATTTTTAACTCAATCACTTTTTTTTTAACTCAACTTTAACTCAACCCCACTATCATCAATATTATCAATATAATTAAATAATATCAATTAATCATTCTTACACACTATATTACCTTAATTTACTATTCATTCATTCACATAATTTTAACTAATCATCACTTCAAATCTTCTCTCTCCTACTTTACATCAAATCAACTTTAATCATTTTATTTTAAATATTATTTTAATATATCCACTAACAATTAATCATAACAACTTTTTCAAAACTAACCAAACCAAAAAAATAATTAAAAAAAAAATAAAAAAAAATCCAAACAAACCAAAAGTTTTTATATCCAATCATCCTTTACTCCTTATTTAAACATAATATACTATTATTTTAATTACAATTATGAATTTTAGAATAGTTGGTATATGAAAGATATATTTTTGGGATAAGTTCAAAAATGAGTATATTGAACATGTGTTCCTACAAGCATAAGGACATTATAAAAGGAAAGTTCTTTTATTTACTTATTTATATGTATGGTTCTGATTTGAATTAGTTTGCATGATCTTATTATAAATATATTTTGTAGAATTTCATTATGGGCTGCTGGATAAAAGGGATGCGCACGCATAGAGAAGATATCAAAGGAGATATTCACTTTTCTTGTGGCTACACTATCTTTGGAAAGAAGATCAAGGAAATTTCGGAAGAAGAAAAGAATTTGCTGAGGTAGTTCACGTGTAAGGATGCTATTTAAACCCTACTTGAAGATCAATTGAAGCTTGCTGAAACTCTTGTCACTCACATCGATCAAGCTTCAATTGAGAGTTCAAGTTTTTTATTGTTTCTTTCTTTTTGTTCACAATTCAGTGATCTGATGTTCTTATATCGTCTGACTACTAAAGCTGTCTATTGAGATTTCTTTTGTTTTGAACATTCTTTGTTATCGGAACTTTGTTAGTCTGGAGAAATCGAGAGTGTTTTAAGTCCACGGGACGTGACCAGAGAAGTAGTTGATAGTTCGAGCAGTTGTGGCTACGCTAGAAAGGAGTTCTAGTTGGTGTAAGACCAGACTATATAAGTGTGCACAATCGAGTTATCAATGAAAGAGTTCTGGTGTTGCAACGTAGTTATTTACAATCAGTGTTCTAACACGAATTGAGCGCCGTTGACTCTAAACGCATACTTTTCAGTATATTTTTTTATTTGGAAAACATTTATATTATATAGAGGAGAATATTCGAATTTGAACATATGAACATGGCAACAGGTAACGTTTGCTTTTCACATCTGTTGAAGGTTCTCGACACATTCTTTACCAGCTAACTTAAAGAAGCTGTCTTCTTTGACAATTTGACTCATGTTTTTTATTTTTATTTTCTTTTATTTTCTTTTCTTTTGAGTATCTTTTTTTATGCGACTATTTATTATTTGAGTAACCGTAAAAACTGTAGAGCCCAACAACCACACCAATGGGCTTCACAGCCGGATATTAGTCTTACTCTTTACCTTTGCTGGTAGGCTGTTTAGTTAATTACTTTGGGAGCTCTCAACACCAATACAATTCAATTAGACTTGTTTGTTTGTTTCCTTAATAAATTGAGCTTTATATTATAATTATTATTTTTATTAATATTCATATTTTAAATAAATATAGTTGAGGGAAGCCTTAAATATATTTGCAAACACATGATTCGTGTTTGCAAACAATCAATTGGACGATTACAATTATGTTACATGAACGGAATCGAACTTTCACATTTTAAACGAGTAAATATCATCATTCTGACATTTGTATTAAACTAAAACAAAATCAAACACGAAAAATATGTACAATAATTTGTGTAACATTAAGTCTTCTGTTAAGTCAACCTAATTCGATTATATATACATATATATCATTAAATAATAACATAGATTAAAATACAATATTTAACAATATTTTTTATTTTTCATAATATGACGATCAACTTGCATGAAAAGTTAAAATTTACTCGAACAAAAATCTATATCGATATAAATTATTAGAAAAAACTAAAGTCTCGAACCATTCCGTCCGGTTTTTAATAGATTATCTACCTTACATTAAGAGAGTAATGCTCCCTTACTCACGGTGGACACATTTTAATGTGTTCACTGCTTATGTGGCATGCACATATTGGTGATGTATTTTTCTAACATATTAATATCACCAATGTGTGCATGACACATAAGATGTGGGCATACTAATATGTGTCTACCGTGAATAGGTGAACATTATTGTACGTTAAGATACACATGCATCTAATTGTTAAAAACCCAACCGAATGATTGGGGATGTATTATTTCCAGTGTTTTTCAACCCGGACCGGCCCGGCGGGTCGACCCGGGACCCGGTCGACCCGGAGCCAGAACCGGTCCGGGTGTGCTAATTAGACCGGATAACAAATGAACCGGTCAAACCCGGTCAAAACCCGGTCAACCCGGCCTTGACCCAGGCGACCCGGGGCATTGACCCGGCCGGGCCAACCCGGTTGACCCGGTCCCTACATATATTTTAAATTTTTTTATTTTTTTTTTATTTTTTTAAAAATAAAACTATGTATATATATTTATATGGTAAATATTTATTATTAAAAAAATATTATTATCACTTTAATATACAAATTTTACATACAAAACATTTAATTTTGTTATTTTATGTATATTTATATGACAAAATACTATATATATATAATTTTAAAAATTTTAAAATTAATTATCCGGTTCAGCAATTGACCCGGTGACCCAGCGGTTAACCGGTGACCCGGTGACCCGGAGACCTTCCCGGGTCAATCACCGGGCCGGGTTTAAAAACTATGATTATTTCCCTAAATTATAATTACCATTTTACACAAAACTAAGCATTTTATAACCAAAAAAAGGTTAGTTCCGCCGACTCAATAATCCTCAGTGGCCTATCGTATCATCCAGCTGTCAATCCGCCACTCGCCAGTCTGTAAACACGGTCAGCTGCCCGCACAGCCTACCTCTGCCCGGACATCCTCTCTCCCAATATATAAAGTGGCACATTACGCATTTTATTTCTTCACAACTGCTCTGCTATTATCCTCTGATAAACGCACTGTCTCACGCACAAAACACAAACTCCAGCGATAAAAAGTGCAATGGCGGTGTCTAAAGCCGGAGTCCTAACGGCGGTAGCCACGATCCTCGCCCTAGTGGGGAGCTCACTGGCGCAGGACGCGCCGGCTCCTGCTCCTGCGTCGCCGTCCTCCGTTGCCTCGCCTTCACTCGCCGTCGCCTTCGCCGCCGCCGCGGCTGCCTTCGTTTTCGGGTCCGCCGTCAAGATCTGAAGGTTTGGAGGTGGTTTGAGGCGTGAGGAGTTGCGTGTGTGTATGGGGCGGTAGTTTTTGGGGGAAATTTATGGAGTTGATTTGTGTGTGATTGTGCAGATCTGATTTATTTGGTTTTCGTTTTGTGGTGGAATTTTAATTTTTTTTAGGAGATTTGTGATGGAGATATGCTATTATTTCATTCGTGTA